GAGAAGAAAACTAGAAAAGTAAGAAAAAAATTTAAAAATAGTGACCAAACGGTCACTGAAAAATCAGTGACCGTTTTGGTCACTGAATCAGTGACCATTCTGGTCACTTGTCATTAAAAAAAAAAAAAAAAAATTTATTTATTTATTTTATATACTAATTAGACGAGCACACGAGCCAGCTCGTGGGCTCGTTTCACGAGCGGCTAGGCAAGCGCTCGTGCTCGTGCTCACTTTTTAGCGAGGTCGAGCGACTCGTGGACGTGAACAGTACGAATCGAGCCAGCAAGCTGACGAGTCGCTCGACTCAGTTGACACCACTAGTTTCTATGATCTACAATTAACAGATAATCAAAGATCTCAAATATATCATAGAGAAAGAATTGGGTCGTGTTTGGTTGAAATAGAATGAGATGGTACGGTGTGGAGGCAGTGATGACACACTAATATTTGGCCATTCTACGACTGGTCAAACCGACTGCACTTGGGGACATTGCACGTGTATCCCCTAATCATGTTTGTTTTCTTATAAATATTCTCCAATTCTCAATCCCGCAAAATTCGTGCTCTCACACTTTACTTCCTAAAGCAACACCAAAGTTATTTTTCTGATGAAAATTTCAAGGTATGTAAAATAACATCGATGTTTTAAAAGGCGCGCTTAAATGGTGCATTGCGCGACGAAAACGTCAAACCAAATGATTTGACACCTAATTTAGCGATCAACGGCCATCATTGACCGCTATGTTCGTCTAGGCACGTATTGATATCTTTTTTTTTAAAAAAAATTTAACTTAATTTTTTTGGAAAAATAAAAAGATTGCATGCGTGCCTAGACGAGCATAGCGGTCAACGATAAAATTTAAAGGTTGACTTACATTTGAAACTTATCTTTTTGTTGAAAACTTTTGAAAAAAATTATGTCAAAAATTAGGGAAAAGGACGTTTTGCACACAAAAATTGAAAGGTAGGGATGTCTTGCACCAAAAAATCAAAGGTTGGGACGTTTTCCACAACAACCGGCAAAGGTGGGGACGTTTTGCGCCAATAACCCTTTGAAAAAATGTATGAAGTTTTTATAAATCTATTTTAGATGTTTGATATGCATTATTTTTAATTATTAAATGATTTTTTGATTGATTAAAAATTAATATAATATTAAAATAAGAAAACACGTTTTTAAGTTTTTTTAACGTTTATGCCTTGCCTAATCTCGTTTAGCCCATAGCTTGGCATCCACACATTATGCCTTTTAGAACATTGAATAAGATAGATAATTGACTTGGAGAGAAATGTTTACATGTCCACATTGAGAAGTCTTATCTTATCAATTTGAAGAAAATCGTACTTATAATTCTCACAATTGGAGAGAACCATAAGTGATCAACAAGTAGGCAGTCTCATGCTGCCCACTGTGGGTAAGAAAACAATTTCGTTGACTTGGATATGGATAAATTATCATACAATTTAATTTTATTTAGTATTGTATAAGTCATATCAAACATGCCTTAGATATAGAATATGCAACTTTCAATCCCAACAAGACATGTACAGTGAAGAAAGCGTCCTGGCACGAACATAATTATTTTCTTGAATTCATTGTTGTGTCTAAAAATTAAACTAGAAGATGTAGTTTGAACAGGAGGCAATTGTTCAAAGTCCAAGCCACAATTTAGGGAATGATGTGTGAAACTTAGAAATAAAACCAAAAGGTACAGAGGAATATGCACATGTCATCTCATCTCAAGAGAGGTAATCTCGTAGGGAGTGGGACTTGTGATTTGGATGCTTCTGTTTTTGTTCCTGAAAAGACTGGTCTCGGGGCTAATAGAACTTTTGGTTTTAAAGAATGCAAAGACGGCACCGATATCTCTTTAATATTGTCTAATTTTATCACCAGAAGCAAAAATCAAATCCCGAAATTTCTTATCACCCATTAAAACAATTAAAATCCTTCACATAACCAGGAGTTGTGTAACAAGTGCAGATTTTCACCAAGGACATATCATACACTTATCTTCTATTTCATTTTCTAATACGATAAATGGGTAGACTCTTGGATAGTTCAAAGTTCTATCACATATTGCTACGACATTACTGGCTAGCTCGACTTGACTTCAAAACTGTGTTCTCGAGTAGAATAATGTGACAAAATGTACCTTCCTGCTTTTTTCTTGAATGTCATATCTCATAGGCCTGGTGATCTTTCACTAAAGTAGACATTAGTGGGCTCATCTATATCATTTACACCAATTATTACTATCAAAAGTAAAAAAATGACAGTAACACATACTGATACTTCTGAACAAATGCTATAAATTTTACATGAAAATCGTGCAGTACAAAATTAATTACAATATAGTTGTGAAGATGAAAGGTCACAACAGCAAACCAAACCTTATTCCTAATAAATTTGGGGTCAGTTGAAGATTAGAGACTAAATGGAACGAATTTATACAGTATTACAGATAAACCAACATTTCAAATTTATTTAATTCAAATTTCTGTCATCAAAAGATGCAGGCAAACCTTTAAGTACATCTCTCAGAGCATAAAGATGGCTATCACATTTGTGGTCTGAAATTATGTTGCTTGAAAGCAATATCCTCTGAAAATGTTCACCTGGTTGTCTCTTGCACAGTGTGAAAAATTCCTCTCTTTTGTCGTGGCTTTTGGCAATAATATTCCTCTTCAAATGATAAGGAGTTCCAGGTACATATAACTCAGCTACTTCACAGGCAGTTTTATCACATTTTAAAATATCACAGCCCGTGCCTGCAGGATTAGAAGTTTGAGGAATGCTTTGAACCACTTCAACTTCCCCCTTCGTGAGCAACTCTGCATAACATTAAGGAAACTCAAGGTTAGCATTCTCAAGTTTATTAGGACTTCAAATAATAAATGAAGAAAAAGGGAATTTTAGCAATGAGGGGTAATTGACACTTAGCTCTAGAAGACCAAACGAGAACTAGAAGTTCTAAAAATTACACATTTACTCTACTCAATATCGGTGTAACGGTGTTGAACCACTTGATCTAAAAGTTTAAGCTCTTAGATAGGACCACATGTATATCATTTAAATCGTGTTCAACAAGCCGTCTGCGTGCAAAATTCATTAAATAGGTGGCATTCAGACTAGAAACGAAGATCTTTGCATGGTCTAATACTATGTTAAAGCACTTGATCTAAAAGCTTAAGTTTAGATGATGGGTTAACAGTCAAGTAGTCAAACAAGAGCGGTATTGGTAGTAAAAATCAAATAAAAAGAACAAAATTTTAACGGTGAACTTACTGGTTTTAAAGTAAACAAGGGGGTTATAAAGCTATTTTAAGAGTCTTAGAAATTCGATCTTTTAAAAGAGAAAACTACTTCGTGCAGATGGCATCACTTGTTGAGACTAGGTAGCATATTATTTTACACAAAGAATCCGTGTATATATCAAAATTTGGGTACTAACTAATCAAAGACTCGAAGCACTCTTGTGCAATACTTCTAAATTGTTTTTTGGTCTAATTTTAAAATTCTTCAAATCCTAAGTAATGCATATGTCAAATCTGCCTTTTGATAACTAAACATCAAACTTTTCAGCTAACTCATGTTACAGAATTTCAATTCTGTTCATCTCCATAATTTCGGGTTATATCACAACTCCTAACAGAGGAGAGCCCTTCATGCACAAAAACGTGCGAACAAATGGGAACAAAATTAAAAAAGGAGACTAAGAAAGTAAGAAACTCTTAAAATCCAGCGAACAGCCCACAGCCCCCATCAATAAAACCCTTATTGCATTTTTAAGGTGTCAATGATCCTTGACGATGATCTAGTAAACCCAATAGACATTGAAGTAACCTGAGGGGATTACTTCACCTTTTTTTCTTTATTTTTTGTTTGGAGTTTGGACCCTATCAATTAAATCTTTCATGGTAATCGTGGTCAGTCAAGTCACATCTAAAGTTCTATACAATCTATCATTTTCAGTGGCTTGATAAAAAGAAAACATCAAGGAACAATAGAAGAGCAAAACAATACAGGTAATTTTATGTCAATTGCATTAAAAAAATAAAAAAAGGTCATTTGATCACCACTGTAACGGGATACGAATCCAGTTATGAAGTTGGATTTCCATTTTTATTATTATTAGGAAATCCAACCATCGGGAAACAGAACATACCAGAACGTTTCGTCTGCCCTCTGAATTTGGCATATTCAGCAAGTTTTCGAGCCACATCTTGTACAGATGACACAACCAGCCTAGCATTAGTGACTAGATCAATGACGCCTTTCCAGTCTTCCTTTTCAAGAACACTTACCCTGCCAAAAAGCAAAGTTAAAAAAAGAACAGAAAACTCTTCCATTATTAAACCAACAAAGGCCAGCTATTCAATCTAATGCCAGATCCCATCACACCCACCCAAGAAAATCAAAATCAAAGCGAGTATATTCCGGAAGAAAAATAAAATTACATAAAATTTGCTTTGAGAAGAAAAGAGACTGCCAACTGGGTTCCCCTTCTTCAATAAATTATTCCCAATGCACTCAAAGAAAGAAAAGAAAAACAGGATAGCCTTTTTTTTTCCATTTGTTGGCAGGTTAGTAAGAATAATTTTAACTTCTTGTGCATTAAAATTTTATGTAGTGGATAAAACAGAGTTGTCTAATATGCCTCATTCAGTCCACTCAATGCCTAATTCTGTGACATATGGTTTTAGTTAATGAGACTTAAAACGGTTTTAAATTGTAAGTCAAAATTATGGTGATTAATTTAAAATTTAGAGGTATCATGTCATGTAGAACAAGATAGAATTCATACATTACCACACTAGTAATAGTAGAAATAAGAATAATTATGGAGTTTCTATGGAGGATTTTACGGCCTCAACAAGTAATTGTGTCAGGCATTTAGGTTCAATTATTAACAAGGACTAATTGAAGAGGACATATTCATAGGATTACAGCACCATGGACGAGATCGAAAGTGCTATGGCAATTCTGACTGATAAGAAGATCCCTGTACAGTTGAAATAGAATTCTGCACAATAGTTATTAGAAACTGCTGTTCTCTGCAGGATAACTTTGGGAATGATAACTTTGGTGGTAGGATATGGTAAAAGTTCGCCTTCATAAGAATGACACAACCTCAGGAGAGCAGGTTATTAGAGAGAGGAAGACCAAAACTATCATTGTTTGTTGTGGTTGCTAAAGATCTAGTTGCTTAAAATATTTAGGTGTCGGGCGTACCCTGAAAACTAGAACAGCTTGCTGATTCAAAAATCATGGGAAAGAAAAGGAAAACAAGCTCATTTAAGATGATGTGATGCTCATGCTATCCAAATCTATAATGGCCAAAAGCTTCTCCCATTGTCGTACTACCAGATGAAACAGAGTGAATTTCAAATGTATTGCAAGAATTATAAAGAAGATCATTTAAGTTAATTAGGCATAAATGGAAGCAAAATGTATAGGGTCAAATAGTCTAGCAGATATGATTGCTAGAAGTTGCAAATGCAGTGGAAAAAAAGTTTCTACACAATTTCTCCTGGTAGTATCAGCAATAACCACAAAAATTTTGTTTTCAAAAAAAGGGACAGAATCTGCTTGTACCTTTTACTGAACAGAAAAAAAAAGAGAAAATAGGATATAACCTTTAGTAATTGGTTTTAAGAAGTTTTTTATCCAGATACTACTCACTTAAAGAATTTTCAGCTGGCGTCCTATAGTTAAAGGTCACAAAAAGCTTCCAAATATGTAGGTTTCTTACCAATCGGTTTGAAGAATTTCATTCCTCAATCTTATTAAAGAAGCAACACTTAATCTTGGGATTATATCATCCTGCATGCATATAGATAAGTTAATAAATCTTGGAACTGTGTCATTCTCCATCAAAGAGGAGACAAACAAAAATCTTAAGTAAAAGCTATAGGTGTTATTTTAGATGGACTGACTGAGATTTAATAGAATTGAATACAAACGAAAAATTTGTTAGTGAACTGTTAAATCACAGACTGACCTGCATCACCACTGTTGTCACGAAATCAGAGCAACTTTCAGCAAGTTCTTTGGAGACACAAGGAGGGGTGGCATATCCAACTGCGGAAATTATATCAGGGCTGAATCCAAGCTCATTATATGACTTTTTACGGAGCATCATTGCAAGTAAAGAAGCCGTTGCACCTCCCAGTGAATGACCCACAAGCCTTAATCTAAATCCCTGTTGATTAATTAGTCTCGCTACAAAACGATGTGAAACTTTTAATACATAACTCAACAGCCAGAGATAAGGCTGAAGAAATAAAAAGTAGAAAAAACATATAATCACCATTACCTTGTGTTTCTCTAGGCACTTTCTTATGGTTCCTATCTCATGAGTTAGAAACCAACGAGCAGCCTCGGCTGTACCAAAGTGGGTTGAATAACCTTCAAAAGTGACTTCTTCGTGGCTTGAAGAAACAATGTCAGTGATAACGTCATATACCGTGTGAGTTCCACGAATGCCAAGAATCACGAGTTTATTCCGCATATCAATACCTATATAATATCCAGGCCTCAAGACACTAGAGTTCTTAATAAACTTCAAAACATTACTTTCTCGGAGCATGCTATTCCTTGCAAGACCAGCGGCACTATCTCTATAACACCCCTTTGCTAGTTCTATGTGGTAGATGAGATCCTGAACCTGGATCATAAAACGCTCACTTCATAAGAATACTAGCTCACTGGATCATGAGCACCGGTAATCAAAACAATTAACTCCTAAGGTATTTTTACGTAAGGGTAAAAAAAAGGTTTTGATAATTACAATTGATTCTGAGGAGATTATTTCACCCTTCAGATCCTCAACTGGACTTGTGGATGCTTGTTGAAGATATATGAGATATAAGCCTATAGTAAGATCACTGATACTCCAATCCTGAAGTCCAAGTTTACTCCTTTGTATACTAGCAAAAATCTCAGCAATAGATCTGTTCGTAGGTGGCAGTTTATCTCCGATTCCATTACCTGAATAACAAATAATTTACATAAAAATTTAATTATCTGTAGACAAATAAACGCATCATTACTGCATCCTTTAAAGGACGAACCCATAACAGATTTAAATTTGAAATATTTCCTGTACAGTTGAAACCTAAGAGGATAACAACGTGCAGTTTACCTTGAACCCTTTATATTCTTCCTTTTTCATATTTTCACTTGTAAGGAGAACATAATTATCGAAAGTCGAGTTCTTGTAATTTTTCCATTCTAAATTGAGTAAAAACTGCCAAGTAAAGATAACCACAGTCCAAATCATTTTGTTCCGAAAGCCCAAAATAGAGTCACTTTACCTAACCTACTCAAACATGGAACATAAAAATTAACCAGGAAATTATGAAAAAACCCACATGACAAATAAAAGGTATAGATTTAAAATGCTACCCAATAGGATACCAATTCTCAGCTTCAAATCCATAATTGCATATTGCCTAGAACGTTATGCCATACTATATATATCCTAAAATCGCACCGAAAATGAAAATTTGATATAAATATAATTTCTGTGCTAAATACTTTGACCTGTTGGGAGAGCCCATTTGTAAAATTGTAAAGCGGGTTCAAGAGCTTTAGCTAACCAAGCAATTTCTGGCATCCATCTATTACTATTGCTCAAATCATCCTCTGATAAACTGTATTTGCTTATTCGGGAATCACTTTTTCGCAATTTATCATAATCTTTTTCTTTAAATTCATTTCCTTCTGCTCTATTTTCTGCTTTGGACCACTGGTAACGATTTAAAATGCCGCCAACAAGATTACGATATGATTCCTCCCTTTTCAACACACCGCTCCTAAAATCTGAAAACAAAAAACGAGGGCTTAATGAGGTCAAGGAATGATTTTAGAAAGAAGAAAATCAAATTATGTACATACCCATACCGTTCAAAAAGCGCTTGATGGATTTATTAGCCATTTATTCTTCTGTAAATTGAAGAAATTAAAGTGGATACAAAACAATATTGTGTTTGTGTGTGAGAGCGCGCGCTTGCTTGCTTGTGAGAGATGCTAAGAATGGTGAAGAGTGGCAGCGGCGGCGGTATTTTACAGGAGAAATTAGCACCCCGATAAGCGGTTTCTCGAACCGTTTGTTTGGTTTTTTGGACCCTTGATTAGCGAAAGAAGTGGTTAAAATCCTAATTGAACAATCTAATTCCAGTTTGCTAAAAATATTTATTTTTAATATATTTTGATAAAATTGGTGGTTGAAAAATTAATAGAAGTTACGAGTCTTAAAATTTAATACGTAAAAAAGGAGTTCAGAAATTTTTTAGCACGGAATCATAATTAATTTTAATGATAAGTTCGACACCTATTTAGCATACCTCAAAGACACATGCACGGTAATCTTCTATCAAATCGACCTAATTATTGACCCGAACAAGATATCATGTCAATGAATTATTGGTTCAACTGATTTAGCGTCGTCGTTAAATGTTAATTTTAATATGCTTAAATTACTCTTAGAAGACCATTTCTCTCTAATGTATATTGCTCTAGCAAATAAGTAATTCATGTCTCGCAAGGTTTGTTCAAATTTAGTCCAGTTTGATTGGGATAAATGAGTGTACATCGAGTCTCAAGTTTAGGGGTGGCAAACAGATCAAGCGGCATGTGCTCTTGAGCTCAGTTCGTCTTGACTCAACCCATGAACACTTACTCATTTTAAAACGAACCATATGCTGAACTGATCTCACTTTTTTATTCTTTGGGTTGAGTCTGCATGACTTGTGGACACGAGCTAACAAGCCGACTTGTTTGGGCTCATGAACCATCTCATATTTTCCTTTTTAAAAAATATATATTTTATTAATTCTTTTTTTAAAAGAAAAATACTTATTTTGTTAATTTATTTTAAAATAATGAACCAACTTTTGGACGGATCGTTTGGACTCGTGGTAGCTCAACTCATAAGGCCCACTAGTCAAATGATCAAGTTGATCATAAGATTTGAACAATTCGAGCTCGGCTCGACCTATTATTATCCCTACTCAAGTCCATTAAAATTACACAATGTGGAACTTGTCGATTCGGTATATAGTCTATTTTGATCCTTCATCTAATTTTTGTTATAAATTTAACTCTCAATTTTTAATTGCTTATCTTGTCGATTAATTATGTCAATAAAAACTAATATAATGAAAGCATAAAGGACATCTTTATCTATTCATCTATTTGCTTTTTTACTAAAATCATTTCTATGTTTACCAAGTTTTTACCCTTGGGACCACGGTGCTATTAAAACAATAAGTTGAGGACTTCAAAAAGAAGTAGGACTTGTTTGTAAAATGGAATAAAAGTGAAAAAGAAAAAACTCACAATTCCCGGTTGAAAGTCCAAATTTTAAAGCGCAATGGATAAGACGCTAATCTTTCTTTATAACGACTGGGAAAAGTGAAAACCGATACGAGAGAGAAAAATAAATAAAAAGAGCCTCTTCGCTCTACGCAATCAATTACCGAAACGTGTGTTTTTTCAATGGTTTTTCTTTTTCTATATCATCTTCCTGGACAAACTTCACCTTTGTTGAATTTCTACGACTTTTTTCATTATTCACATCATATTCAGAAAAATCTAACTTGTTATGCATTCATTACCTTGTGGGGTGGTGAAATTTGGCTTCAGCTGAATCATTTTATGTGGGTCGCAGGTAAATTCTCTTCATTATACTTTAACATCGGCAAACGATGCTTTTTTCTATTATATAAGGTTGTTCTGTTTTCATATTTATTGGGTTTGATTTTTGTGGTGTAAATTGTCGAGGAAAGTCTCTAATTTTAGCTAGTTTTTATTTGCTGTAAAAAAGATCATGCCCTTGTTATTTGACAAAAATTGATTTTGGAATTTAAACCACCCATCACCTCAGCATGTGTGATGTATATGCCATTTCTCCCAGTAGCCTTAAAGACTCAGCTACCTTGAACATTTTTAACACTCCATCATCAAGTGCACCAGTGAAGCCTGTACGCTCTAACTTTCCTATAGAAATTAGATTCCTATCCATATGCGGAATATACCTAACTTCTTTTAATGTGTGCGCAAAGTGAATGTCAAATCTAATAGTCATACTACCTACACCAATGATCTTATATGCAACTCCACCCATGCAACTACATACCTGTGATTAAACTCATACAAATGATCAACCCACAACTTATTTGATGTATCATAAAAAGAAGCACCGGAGTCAAGAATTCACTCATACATATAGGAGTTCTTAGACAAGTTAATTTCGGCTGGTTCAGTATTTAAGAGCATGTAAACCTCCAGAGGCTCATCTCTTAGACAACAACGTTTGCCTTACTGAGTTTACCACCCTTCTGATTCCTCAACCTGTTTTTCTCTTTATAACACTCATTGATGAACTTCTTGTCCTCAACCCACAAGGTGCGATGTTACTTGTCGTCCAATATTCACATTACATGCCAAAAAGATGGCGTGGGAAAGAGAACACTGAAACTGTACTGCTGGAGTTTAAAACTTTCTTTAAGGTACTTGCACATAATATGCCTGATAATCTAAAGTGTTTCAAGCAGAGTGACTCAAAATATGTGGTCCATTACTATGTCACCGCATTCACAGATGTCATGATGTTGGTATTCAGATAATTGTAGTTTACTATTTATGTGTTGATTAAATAATGGGGAAAACTGAAGCATTAGTCCCCAATTCATAGAACCTGTAGCAATTTGGTCTTCATCCTTTAAATTTGGACATTTAAATCAACAACCTTTCAAATTTTTTTTTTAATTGGATATGGTATTTTTCTCTGATCTTTCGTTCTTCCCCCGATGCTGATGATTTTTATTATGACACATTCGCACCCTTACCTGGTGCCCTCGTCCTCTGGGCTATTAATATACCTACCAAATTTTATGGCTGAACTGATGTCAAATCTTGCACAAGCTACTGTTATCCTCTTGATTGACTGTGATAAATGTGATGACTACTAGATTTCATATATTTGCTGTCAACCTGAATCCAGAGGATTTCATCCTTTCATAATAAGGTCTTTCTCTATAGTATCACACAATATTCGACTAATTGACCAATAAATGAGCCATCTGCTAGCTTGTTACTGTGTAAGCTAACACACAAATAATTTTCCTTGAGCGGTACACTGGAATGATGTTACTGGAGGATATGGCCTCAATCTTGCTCACCATACTTACTTCTATCCGTTGTCCCAAAGGTTGTCATTCATTTCAATCTCTTTTATGCTTATTACGGTACTAAATATCATAGTTACTGAATTTCTGATACATTCTATGCTGCAGAGGGTAGATGACCTTGCAATTCATTATAGACTTCACTGTGAATGTTGAAGGTGTAGGTCATGTTTGCAGGTTTTTATAACATTAATTTATCTTTCCTTTACCGTATATTCTTTTATTCCCTCATCTCTTGCAAAATTTAGAACTTTATTGTTTTCCCATGGCAGTTTTAGTCTCTTTGATTTTAAAATTCATGGCAACAGCAAATATGGTTCACAATTTAATTCACCTTGCAATCAGTGGAGCTCCCAGGGGAAAATGGAAAAATCATTCTTGAGGTATGACTATTGCTATTTAATAAAGCTTTGTCCAATGCTCTTGTCAAATGTTTCTGTCTTGGCCTAGTTTGTCAAAATTAAGGAGGAAAAGTTCACCATTAGTCCTCTACCTATTGCCTAAGTGGCAAGTTGGTTCCCAATTTTTTAAAGGGTGCAAGTTGGTCCTCAATTTTCTTTATAATTGCACAATCAGTTCTCAACGATGGAAACTCTCTAAATCTTCGTTAAATTGGCATGTGTTCCTCATGGAAACATGCCTCGCATCTTATTTTTGGGCTCTCCCTTAATTTTTTGTCAAAATTAAGGTGGAAAAATTCACCATTACTCCTTGACCTATTGCCTAAGTAGCATGTTGGTTTCCATCTTTTTAAAGGGTGCAAGTTGGTCCTCAACCTTTTGTAGTTGCACAATCAATTCTTAATGATGGAAACTGTCTAAATATTCATTAAATCGGCACGTGTTCCTCATGGAAATATGTCTCATTTCTGATTTCTAGGCACCTACTTATGTTGGGAAATAATATCTAGCTTCATAAAATTAGACCTAAGGATCACGTGATGATTTAGCAGAGAGATTTGGCTGGTTTATGTCTTAAAGGACTAATTATGCAACTATAAATGAAGGTCGAGTATCAACTTACTCCATTTTAAATGTTGAAGACCAACTTACTACTCAGGTAATAGGTTAGAAGCCAATAGTGCAATTTTCCCAATTTAAGATGGTCCTGATTTTCTTGAGCATTTCCTATATCAAACCTTCTTGATATACTTGCAGCTTTCCGATTACCTATCCTTACCCTAAAACGTAGAGATTCGTTGGGGAGAAATTCCTGCTTAGATTTCAATCCTAGACTTTTTCTCTTCTACGCCGTCCTTAGGCAAGCTCGGTCGTCTTGCGAAGCAAACAAAGCTTAGTTCTCAAACAAGTCCTCTAATCCTGAGGTGAGGGAGGCCACGAACCACGGTGTCGGGAGTTCGAACCCCTCCTCACCCACAACCTGCCCAAAAGCGAAGTACATTTCCCTCTAAGAGTAGGAAAATCATGATCGTGATCATGGGAACAGATGCTCAAGGGAAGCAATTTATTGCATCACTCAATAACGTTTAGAGATCAAAAGATTCAATGTCAGGAAATGAAAATTGCACATTTGCTTTCTCAATTGCAACAACCGAATCATAATTTTAGAGGCTTAAGTGACAGAAATAACATCTTCTTGTGGGAAATGCCTTTTACTAATGGGAGAACTTGTAATCAGTTTGGTTCAATGTGGCTTATAGATCGTGAACGGAAAAATTTCCCATTTATTCTTGACTGGTTTTCCATTGAATTGATTGATTAAACTTTGTACATCAATGTGGTATTTA